CCAAGGCACGCTTGGGGACGGCACCTCCAACGGCTCAGCTGCTGGCATCTCCCGCTTCCAGGACATGCTGCCAGGCCCCGGACAAGCCTGGGGGGCTGGACAGCAGCTGGGAGGTGCGCTGCGTGAACCCCCAGTGAGTGTGTTTGTGTGAGGAAGGGGCACGCCTCTGAGAGAGCAGAGTGGGTGAGGACAGGGTTGGTTGTGGGCAGCGTGGGCAGGCCTAGGAGGATGGAAAGCAGCCTGGAGACTCAGGAATAGGGTGAGGGTGTGGGGTGGCAGGAGAAAGGGTGCCCCTGGCTAAGGGGGTGGATGAGGCTTAGCTGGATGGGGGTACCTAGACCTCTGCATCTTCATGCAGGCAGCTCCTTTCTCATCTTCATCAAAATTCATTTGTTAAGCCCCCATTTGACACTGTGCCAGGTGCTATATAAACAGACATGGTCCTTGCCCTTAAGGAATTTCCAGCCTAAGACACACACACACTGCCATTTTGTTTGTCTTATTTTAAATATTAATGTATTCCCCACCTTGTTCCAGAGAGGGTGAGACAGCTCACAGGAAATGCATGCCGTGAGTCAAGTACGAAGGAGAAGCACAGCACGGGGACCTCAGGAACCGTGCAGGGAGCGGTCAGGAGGCCGGGGCGGCCCGGCAGAGCTGGACCTGGGCCTCCAGCCTCTCGGTGGCCGCGTGAAGGGGCTGCCGGTCACTTACCCAGTTCATCTGCTGGACATGGGAGTCATTGCTTCTCTGTGCCTGTCCCTCCCGGCCCTGACCCATCACACCAGAACGGGACAGAGAGACCAGAGACCGGCAGCTCCTGCCTGACACCGAGGTGAGGAGAGGCCAGTCTGGCCCAGTCTCCTCGTGTGTGCTGTCTTTCAAAGCAGCGGGCAAATCATCACAGAATCATCATACACACAGGGGTCAGGAGCAGACAATGCCAAGTTCAGACTTAGGTCTGATGAGTAACGTCTGTACAGAAATGGACCATTTCTGGAAGGATTTGTTGAGGGGCCACGTCCTGCAGGCGTTAGAACTCCAGCTCTGACATTCAGAGCAAAGATGGGGCAGAAGGCTGAAGTTAGGAGAGTCCCAGAAGTTCTCCGGCCAGGCTTGTGGGAAGGCTGACTCCAGGGGTTGGAGGACCAGGAGGAGGAGACAGAAGACAAACAGGCAGGTAGAACCAGGAGTACTGGGTGCCAGACCTGAGGGAGGACAAACTTGAGGCTCACGTTTTCCACCCTCAGTGGGGCCCAGAGGATGCCAGGCTGCCTGGGCCTTCCCCCTACCTCCTCCCTCACCCACCCAAGGAGCTCACGCTCTCCTGGGAGCAGAGTTGTAGACGGTATGACAGAGAATGGCCAGGAGGAGGGCTCAAGGAGGCTTCCTGCAGGAGGTGACGCCGGCGACAGTGGCTTCTCCTCTTCCCATTCCTGATAAACTCAGTTTCTCCACAGCTGGTCCCAGTCCCATCCTTTGGGGAGTTTGCCTCCACCCTGCCCCACTCCCATCTCAGAAGATGGGTTCTGATGACCCGAAGCTCCTGACTCTAGTGATTGGCTCTGAGATGGGCCAGGGCCCAGGGCAGGCTGCTCAGAGGAACTCTCCCAGGAGCAGCTCTGTCTGTGCCAGGTGTGCACGGAAGCTGCTGAGCCATTTCGGTGCCATGAGGCTTCTCCTGCCTCCCCTGCCAAAGAGCCGGAGCCAGGGAGCTGGAGTCCGCCTCATCTGCCCTGAGCACAGGGCATCCAGCTATTGAAGACAGTCCATGTCCTTTTCCGCTGAAGTGCCTCTGAGTTGAGATGTGGGATTTGCAGCATCCAGGCGGGAAGAGCCCTGAGCAAAGGCCTAGCCTTGAGGACTCACATGTCCAAGGGCAGAGCCTTAGCCTGAGCCCAGAGGAGGGGCAGGTGCGTGAGTGAGGCAGCGAGGCTGGGCACTAATAGCTAACCTGCGCCATGTCCTTCTGTGTCAGGCATTGTTCTCAGATGCTGACACGCATCCCTCACTTAATCCCCCAAGGACCCATGAGGTAAGCGGTGTGATTATCCTGTTTTATAGGGAAGCTGGTGGAGCGCAGGAGGCTAAGTCACTGGGCCCTGGTCGGACATGTGGGACAGCTAGGACGCGGCTCCAGAGTCTGCTGCCAAGGCCACATGATGATGGCCTTGTCCAGGTCACTCGTCATATGGTCGAGGGGGCCAAAGGTCACCGAGAGGGAAGAGGAGGAAGGTAGAGAAGACCCTGGACTTGATGACTGAGGGTCCTCCATGTGCTCTTTTGGGTGGTGGTGTGTGAGGGAGGGGCAGGTGGAAGCCCGTTAGCGAGTTGTGGCTGGGAGGGAGCAAGGAGCCAGGTGAGGGAGGGAAATGGCTAGAAATAGCATCTTTTTCTTCATGAAGGGGAGACTTAAAGGTGTTTGCAAGGCAAGATGGTGAAGAGGGTGGAGATTAGGCCCAAGGAGCAGCCAGGACCCCATTTCATGGTGATGGGTGGAGCTGATGGGCTGTGTGTGGGCTCAGGAGAGGGGTCCGTCCACTCAGGAACGCAGAGAGCACCTCTCCCTCCAGAGACAGAGGAAGAAGGGGCAGGTAAAGGTGTGAGCCACAGTTGATGGTGAGGGATGTGGCATCCAGAAGAGCTGGAGGCACAGGTGCTGGCGGAGGGGCGGTGGGGGGAGCCATGAGAGAGCAGGAATTCTGACACCTGTAAATCCCTGGGAGCACCTGGGGTGGGAGGACAAGGGAGGAGGAGGGCCAGGTGTGGGATCGCCACCTGGTCCCAGGTTCCAGGCCGCTGTCCCTCCTCGCCCCCCCCCCCTTCTTTCTTTCTTTCTTTTTTTTTTTTTACTTACAGAAAGTTACACTAATAAGAGAACAAGACCATCTCCAGGCCATGTTCGGTCCCTGCCAGTTGGCCTTACTCAAATTGTTTTGTCCCCTGAAAGCAAGGCTCCTGGGCTGTTTCCAAGCCCTGCACGTCCCTCTTTTGCTGGAAAGCCACACTCCTGGGCTTCACGTGAGATTCTTGGGGATCTGGCCTAAAGGCCCCTCTTATATTGTGCCTTCCTCAACCTGCCTCCCCCACCCTCCAGCCCAGCTCCTTCCAACCCCGATGCACCCCACCTGTCTCCCTCTGACTCTGAGCCCCCAGAGGAAAAGCCAGGCTGAGGCCTTGTGACCTTTTATTCTTCCGCGGTGCCTGGCAGATTACAGGATGTCACCAGCAGAAAGCCAGGCCTCACTGATGCTGAGAGGCAGGAGGAGTCCAGTCCCACCCGGTCAGGGCAGCTCAGGGCCCTGGAGCCTGCGCTCCCCTGGAGGGGAGGGAGGACACAGACACACTCTGCCAACTTGCAGGACCCCGCTCGTCTCGGGGAGAGGGAGGTGAGTCAAATATTGGCTGGAGGGTCTGACGGCCCCACGCCCAGGACTGGGCTTGTTTTCACTTTCCTAGGTCACTGGGGTCAGTTCTGTGGGGAGCTCCAGGCCAGCGGTCGGCAGCCTTTCAGACTTCTCAGACCACCAGTGGGAGTCTGCTGCTCTAGGCTGTCCCCATAAGGCTGCAGAAAGATTTTCCCTCTCGCCGAAACCGGTTTGGCTCAATGGATAGAGTGTCGGCTTGGGGACTGAAGGGACCCAGGTTCAATTCCGGTCAAGGGCATGTACTTTGGTTGTGGGCATATCCCCAGTAGGGGGTGTGCAAGAGGCAGCTGACTCTCGCTCATCGATGTTTCTAACTCTCTATCTCTCTCCCTTCCTCTCTGTATAAAATATTAAAAAAAAAAAAAAAAAAAGAGTTTTTCTCTCATCTGCAGGACGATGTCAAAGTCCCTACACGATGTCAAAGTCCCTACCCTTTGCGTGGTGAAGACATGTTTGAATGTGGGAGGCCTGGCCTGAGCCACTCCTGGTTCTGTAGAGGACACAGGCTGGCTTCCTGCCATCAGTGAGCCCAGCGTTGCAGCAAGCACCTGGGCCCAGAAGCCAGGAAGATGCAAGCCCGCCCCCTCGTGGCCACCCACCATGACTGCAGCCCAACAGCCCAGTCTCCACCCACCAGGCATCTGGCATGAGTAGCCTGGCAACACTGGCTGGGACCTGGGCACCAGCCCCTGGCTCCACAGGCCTCACATGCCCAAGTGAAAGGAGGTGCCAGCTTTTCATGAGCAAAGAAGCATCAAGTGTTATACACATGCCCACAGGCAGACATACTTCTCCTTTCATTGTTTTAGAATAAGGATACGCATCCAGTGAGGTCAAACACCTCATCCAAGGCCATTGAGCTTAATTGTCAGCTCTGAGCCCAGTCACATTCACCTGAAACCAGGCTTTCACCTCCATAACACAGGGCCATCGGACTCTGCGCGCTGTTACCTGTGTTTGTATCAGGGCGACCCAGGGCCTAAGGGTTGCTAGTTTCACGCCCGGGAACAAACCCTACAGGACCCAAACCCTCATCGCAGGTGGGATGGTGTCTTCCGCTCACTGCACTGAGAGATGAGTGTTTCCATGCCAACAGCTGGGAACCAGAGCAGCACTATCACCTCCCGGAGGTCAGGGATGTGGTCCATTCATTTTTAGCTCCTTAGCACTGGCCCATGAAAAGTGTCAATATTGTTTGTGAAATGGATAAATGAACCAGTGCGTGCATAAACGATTCTGAGGTCCCCTCCAGTTTGATAGTAAATGTGTGACTCCTGCACACAAACACACACTCCTCTATATACATGAACAGACACACACACAGACATGCATCCACAGACACACAAACACACCTGAAGACAGGCATATACATGCAGACATATAGACACACATATACATATATGCAAACACACATCTACACGCAGACACAGAGACACATATAAACACATATGCACATGCAGACACACGTACATACTCATAGACGTGCTTATGCCCACAGGGCAGAGGGGATACAGCCTGACAAAGAACAGCTGCCCACCCCCCACCCCCAATCACACACTCGTGCACACCTTCTTCACTGGCCTGTATTTATTGCACACCCATTGGGTGCATGGCTCAGCCCCGGGCTCTGGTCAGAAACCTCTCGTGGCCCCGAAGGGCCAGCCCAGCTTGGGGGAGTTCCAGGCCACAGGGCTGGTTACAAGCATGGACGAGGGGGAGGCCGGCAGGAAGGTGGAGCGGCAGTGCGGCAGCCAGCAGGCGGCAGGCAGGCAGCAGAGGCCCCTCTTGGCGGGCAGCCTGTGGGCACACTTGGCTGAACAGAGACAATGGTGGCTGCTCCCCCAGCCCAGCCTCCTTCCCACTGGCACAGCCTCAGATCCGTGGGTGTCTGAGAACCACTTCAGAACAACCCCCCGCCCCACCCTGCGGGTCGCTCCAGGGGACACACAGGGAGGGCAGGGCCCAGAGGGGCCTGGTGCCCCTGGGGAATGGAGGTATATGGGCTGGGATGTGGGGAGGGGGTCCAGGCCTCCACCCTGACTCTCAACCCTTCCTCAGCAGCAGCTCCTGCCAGGAGAGCCCCAGGGGCTGTGTCACCACCTCCTCCTCAGCCTCCCCAGGGATCTGAGCCTCTTTCCTGGCGCGGGGACACAAAGGCCCCTTGTTCAGGGCTCCCAGAGCCCTGGAGCCCCCACCGCTCTGGGGCCATTGGCTCTGCTCTGTTGATTAGCAATTGGGCATGGGAGGTGGGGTGCTCTCATTGGCCCTGCAGGGCCCCCTGTAGGGCTGAGGAGACAAAGGTGCAGTCCCAGAGCCAGCCTCACAGGGCCCTGTCCCTGACAGCAGCCCCACCCTGAGCAGGGCCCGACGACAGAAGGCTCGCTGGGGTCTTCCCGGACCTCTCCCAGCAGGTCACCTGATTCCCAGGGCAAGACTATCCCGGGGGCCTGACCGCCCAGAGGCCTCGGCTGCCCCAGGCTCTCTTCTAGAAGCATGGGGACCATCAGCTCTGCTTCCCCAAGGGCTGAGCTGCCCCAGGCCCAGGAAAAGGGGCCATTCTGGATTCGGAGGAGTGAAGAGTGACATGGAGCAAACTTCGGGAGAGGAGCCAAATCTTTGGCCTCCCACCTTCCTCAGTGGCCAGGGACCTGCCTGAGGACCTGCCACAGGGGCGGGCAAGGCAGAGCAGTCCTCGGGCAAGCACAGATGGCTGTCCTTCAGCAGAGGCCTCTCCTCCATCCCACAGGGCTGCAGCCCAGGTCTGCCCCAGTGCAGGGGCCGAGGTCTGTGAGTGACACTTCACAGCTGATGGCGGTTCCGCTTGGGAATAATCTTCCGGTAGGTTCTGCGCTCGGAGATGTTGCGCTTCACCTTGGCGGTGGTGGGGGCCTCGTCCTGGTGCAGGGAGGGGCTGGAGTGGGACTTCTTCAGGCTGGGCTTGGGCTCCTGGGGGCCCGCAGCCTCCCTCCCCAGCTGCTCCTCCCACAGGTCCAGGTCGTCCGAGGGGCAGTGCAGGCGGGTCACCAGCAGCTGCACATACATCTCATAGCGGGTTTTCTGCAAAACACAGGCACCCCACCTTAGCACCCCCTGGCTCCCAGCGGGGGGCAGGGGCTGGAATCGTGAGGGCTGGACAGATAGCGTGTGTATGAAGCTGTGACAATAAAAACTGCTGTAGAGCTGAAACCAATTTGGCTCAGTGGATAGAGCATCGGTTTGCAGACTGAAAGGTCCCAGGTTCGATTCCAGTCAAGGACATGTACCTTGGTTGCACGCACATCCCCAGTAGGGGGTGAACAAGAGGCAGCTGATCAATGATTCTCTCTCATCAGTGTTTATAACTCTCTATCCCTCTCTCTTCCTCTGTAAAAAAATCAATAAAATATATTATTTTAATAAAAAATGAAAATAAAAGCTGCTGCAGAGAGGGGCTGGACTGACAGCGAGCGCCGGTGTAGCACCTGAAACCAGGCTTTGCAGAACAAAGCAGTAGCGTGTGAGAGCCCTGCCACTATTCTGTTACAGTAACACGGGCCGGCCAGCCCTGTTCTCACGGCCAACACCGTGTGCGCTATAACCACCGTCTCCCAGACTCTGAGAGGCCAGGACCCAAGAGGCCTGGGGCCCATGCAGCACTGCACTCGATGGCTCACGCCTGTGCTGAAACCTGGCTGAGGCTGAGCAGCATGGTAACAACTGGCATCTGGAGAGCATGATGTGAACAGCCTTCGTCAGCTCACACTCCTCAGGACACTGTAACTAGCACCTCCAGATACAGTTTCCGTTTTGGTCCGTGCTTTCTCACCCTCCATCCTGTGAGGCCATTATCCCAGCCCCAGGGGTGGGGGGACACCCCATGAGGTCGTTTCCTTGTCCCAGGCTGGGAGGTTGGGTGGGGCACCATCATGAGCCTGTTTGTAAAGGACTGGAGGGCTCCAGAGGGGCTAGCAGCTGCTAAAGACCTCTCCGGTCTCTGGTGGGAGGGGCTGGAGTTCTGCAGGCAGACCTGGGTCTTGCTGGCCACACCTGGGCCTCTGAGAAATGGTGTGCTCACTGCCACGAGTGCAGCAAAAAGCCAGAGGGGATGACCAGGAGGTGAGGGTGGTACAGCCAGCAGGTGACACTGACTATTGCATCTCTGGTCTCTGCCTTTGGATCATCTCTGACCCCTCTGTTGTCACACTGCCCCTCATCTACACTCGCTGCTTAGGTTCTAGAATGTGCATCAATGTCAGGCCAAAGCAGAATTTTGGGTGGGGAGCTGGGGGTTAAAACATTTTGGGTCAATCATGGAGCTAATAAAGGTCATTCCTTTGTTAAGACTGTGAAGGACTGGAGTAGCATGTACACTGATCAGGTTTGGATGACTTATTTGCTCTCTCCATGCCTCAGTTTCCTCACCTATAAAATGAGAATCATAGTCCCTACCCCAGAGCTGTTAGATAATTTAGTAAGATAATCCCAGCAAGTAATACAAGCGCCACAAATGCAGCCTATTATTATTAGGTAGGTATTAGGGGAAATAACCTAAAATACTATTTCCTTCAACTTAAGAAAAGCCAAATATACTCTTAGGAGAAAACAGTCATAAAAATAATGTCCCCTACTAGTGTTTCAGATAAGCGGCTGGTCCACGATCCCAGAACACAGGGCACACGCCCTGCGCAAGCACAGGTGCGCAGACAGCACCTCCCCTGCCCTGAGCCAGAGAGGAGCGAAGGCTGCAGGACCAGACGCGGCCACGAGGGGGCGGCCGGGGGCCGGCGGCTCACCTCGTGCTCCAGGTACTCCTTCCGCAGGCGGTATTCCTCCAGCTCCCGGCCGCGGCCTCGCCGCTCAGGCAAGTTCCTCTGCAGGTCCAGCAAGTCGTCGGAGGCAGCGTCCAAGCAGTTCTCGTGGGACCGGTGCTGCTCCTCCTAGTTGCAGGAGGCGTTGGGAGAAGCAATCCCGAGCTTCTGGGCCCAGGTGCGCAGCCCACCCCACCCCTGCAGTTCCCAGAGCCAGGTGTGCAGACTCATCCCCCTTCCCGGGTCCGGGTGTGCAGCAGCCCTCCTCCTTCCGGGGCCAGGTGCGCAGCCCCGCGCTCCCATCTCTGCTCTAGTCTCCCAGTGTATGCACCACCCCCACATGGCCCTGCCCCACCCGCCTCCCCAGGGCCGTACCAGGGAGCTCTGGGCAGGGCCCACGGGCAGGATGGGCCGCACGAATCTGCGCTGGGAGCCCACCGCGGCGGGGAAGGGCGGCGCTGAGTGCGTGGCGGCGGCCAGGTTGATGCGCGCGATCCAGGAACTCATCTCCTTGGCAGTGCTGAGGGCAGGGAGGCGGTGGGTCCCCAGGGCCTCAGAATCTGTCCTGTCGCTTACCCCACCTCCCCCAACCCCCACCCACAGCTCCTGTGTTCTCACAGCAGTCCAGCAGGCCTGGAGCCTCAAGAAGCCAGAAGCGCTGTGGCTAGCACAGTGGCTGACCTCCACGGGTGTATTTCCCCTTCATCAAAGAGGAAAATCCGGACGACAACAGCTTTTCTATCAAATGCCCCCCAAAATGTCATTGTTACCCTTGAATCGAGCCTCTGTCCAAAACTGGGATGCTGACCTGTGCTTATGGGGCAGAGCCCCACTGGCCAGGTGGGCTGTGGGCCGGGCAGGGCCGGGCAGGGCAGGGCGGGGCTGCGGGAGCCCTGCTTAGTGTGCACCAGAGCCCTCAGTGGGGCTGCTAAGGTCTAGTGTGCACCAGAGCCCTCAGCAGGGCTGCTAATGTCTGCTGGTCCAGATGGCAGCCCCGTCAGGGCAGGGCTCAGGGGACAGGAAGTGGGGCCCTTCTGCTGGCCTCCACCCAGACTCACGGTGCCTGGAAGAGGTAGAGGCGCCAGTCGGCCGTCCGCAGCTGGAAGACGTGTGGCTTCTTGGTGTAATGGGTGGCCGGCGAGGCCAGCGAGTGGTGCACCCCCACAGGCTCGTCCACCATCTGCCCCACCAAACTCTCCCCTTCGGGGCTGTGGTCTTCTCCCTGCCACAGGGCACAGCGGCTCAGAAAAGAGGTTTTCAGTAGCAGCCCCTTAACACCCCCCACCTCATTCTAGGCCTTCCCTCCCCCCCATAAGAGGCCTTCCCCTCCTCCCACGCATCGGAATGTGAGCACCCTTACCTTCAGGAAGTAGAGGACCATCCCTCGGAGCAAGGTGTGCAGCATCTTCCAGCCACGTTTGCCCCATGGCGCTGCCCAGGAGCAGAATGCACAGGTGAGTGGGGGCACCCCACCCAGATGCCCTCAGACACACCCAGGCCCCCCTCTTCACCCCTCACACCAGCTCCAGCCCCCCAGTCCCAGGTGCACATAAGCACAAAGCATCATTCAGACACACAAAACACAGCCTCACACACAGGCATGTGCCACACTGTACACACAGGCAGTCACATGCGGAAACCCAAACAGATGAGGACTATTGACAAACAACAAATTTGACAGACCATCCCCTCTCCAGACACACCCACCCCCAGCACAGCCCCAGCTCGGACATCCTTCAGTCCCTGCGGTGACCTCGGCTTCCTGAGTCCTTCCAGAGAGGCACGGGGCGGAGCCCGTGGGCAGGAGAGGGCCTGCTCCCTGTGGTCACTGCCTTGCACGGGCCTGTGGGATGCTGGTGCCCTGGTTGGTTCCCTGGCTGGGATTCCTGCTGCTGCCTGCTCTAAAGCTCCAGCCATGTGGGCCTTGTGCCGCTTAACACCCCCCACCTCATTCTAGGCCTTCCCTAGAATGCAGACCCGGGTGATGCTGCCCCCAGTGCATGTCCCAGCGTTCTCTTTCACACACCCCATGTTTGGAACAAACTATGCCTGCTCCTTCTTCATGGGCTCACCCTCTGCCCGCCTTCAGACACCCAGACCTTCTGAGCTTCCGTTCAGATTCATCATTTCCCAGGAGCCTTAACGCGCCTGTCTCCCACATCCACCCAAACAAAACCCCAAGCCTCGCCCCCTCCACAGCCCATCCTTCAACTGGCCCTTCCTACACTGCTCCCACACCGATGACTTATCTGGCTTCTGCCTCAGCACAGGGCTCAGGGGCAGGAATATCGGTCCCTCCTGGGTCTGCCCCCCACCCTCCCGGTGGTGCCTCACACAGTCACCATCCAGGCAGTTCCGTGGGCTGCCTGTCACCCGTGCACACGTCAGCACGCTCCCCTGAGCAGAGCCCTCCACACCCCCACAGACAGAGGCCCCGCACAGAGGAGACACCCACTCTTCTTGCCGTCCACGTCGTGATGCATCTTCCGAGCCAGGATGCCCTGCTTGTAGGTGGGCCCCACGGGATCCGGAGCCAGCTGCAGGAAGGGGCTGCTCATCTTGCCACCGAGCGGTGAGGACCGGGCCTTCTCAGGCCTGGCTGCGTCTTCTTCGTCCCTGAACGGAGAGAAGCAGGCTGAGGTGCCGATAGGGGCCCCCACTCTTTCTCTCTCACTGGGGAGCCACATCTCAGGAGACCCCAGAAGAAATCTTTCAAAGCAACCCATCTGTTCCCGTCTTCCCACCCCCCCCTGCCTCTGGCTCCTCAGGTGTTACCTGCCCCCAGGTAGGCCGGGAGGAGGGAAGGATGGCGGAGGCGAGGGAGGAGTGTGGGGAGGGAAAGTCACTTACACGGCCCACTCCAGCTTCTCACTCCGGATAGACCAGTACAGGGCCTGCAACAAAGGCTCATGGTGGTCACGGAGCCCCAGGCTGCGAGGCCCAAACTCCGTCTGGCAGAAGTAGGGGGAGGGCTACTGCAGCCTGCCTCTTCCGCCCCAAAACAGCTGCCCCCCTTCCGTGACTGGGAAGGAGCTCATCTGTGCAGGCACACACACACACACACACACACACACACACACACACATGCAGCCGTTCATGGAGCATCTGGCAGGTGCCAGACATTGTGCTGTCCTAGTCTCCACCTGAGCTCAGTGAGGCCTGAACTTCTTCTCTCCAAGAGAAAGGACTCATCCACATGCCATCCTGCACGGAGGGGCCTGACAGAGCAGAGCAGGCCGGCTGACTGATGGGGCCAATGACCACTGAATGAAGGAGTGAGGTGCCGAGCTTCTACGTGACATAACAGTATTCACATAGATGCATCATGCCAGCTTTGTGTAGTCCTGGGCACACCTACAGGGGCCTGGCACACAGTAAGTGCTCAATAAATGCTCACTGAAGGACACGGGAACAAATGCTGCGATTGCTAATAAAGAGCACACTGTGTGCCAGGCACTGTGTGAACTCCTGACTCACTGGACGACACTTAAGTGGTTCAACCCAGGAGGAACCCAAGTTGTCCAAGACAAGGACTCAAACGCTGGAGCACTGGCTCTAGACTTTCTCTTAAAAGTGTTGCCTTTTTTCATTTAGAGAAGAAGAAGAAAAAACAACAACCCAGTGCTTCCCCGATTTCACAGGCCTCAGAATTAAGCTTTGTGACCATTTCGGGGCTCCAACCCCAGAAGTCTGGTCCAGGAGGCCCAGGGCCGGACTGGGCACTTGCACAAGCTAACAAATCCCATGGTGACCCTGCATTCAGGACTCTGGCCCTGTCTTTGGAGCATATTTGGGCAGAGCCAGGCCCAGGCCCGAGTGCAGCATTCCGTGGATGGGGAGCCAGGCTCAGGCCCGGGTGGAGCCTTCTGTGGGCAGCCCTGGCAGCGCACCTTCAGCAGCTCCTTGGGGAAGTTCCCGCCGTCCTGCAGGCCGTTCAGGTTGTTTATGAATTCCTGGCAGCTCATGCTCTTCCCAATGTTCTGTGGCATGGAGAGAAGTGGGACAGCTGGCACCCGCCACCTAGAGGGAACGCCTGGCCAGCCACTCTGGAACCTTCTCCAGGTCCCCACGGTCCTTCCTGGCTCCTCCTAGGCCTCGGGTCCCACAAACGCCCTCCCCACATGCTCACCGGGCCGTGCAGGTCCGTGTTCAGGAGCATGATGGCGCAGGTCAAGGTGTGCACGGAATCTGTCCCAGAGAGGGGAGTGGAGAGAAAGTGCTGGGACCGGACTTGGCTCTCCCTCTGCCCACAATCGGCAGGGGACCCTCAACTGGGGGTTGTAGCTCCCCACAGCCCCCAAGCTCACCCCACCAGCTGCCACCAGGGAACTCCCGCGTAGGCTCCTACCTACTGAGGAGAAGAGCCCGGGGTTGCAGTGGTGGAAGCGCCTGGAGAACTGGAACAGGACTCGCTCCCGCTCCTGGGTCTCCCCGCTGAGCACCAGCGCCTGGAGGAAGCTCCTGGGAGGAGGCCCGGATCAGGACAGGCCCAGGCTGGACAGCAGGCCCTGAGCTTGGGCAGGGTCTGCCCGACCACCCCTCCTCCCCAGGGAGGGCCCAGGCATTACCGAAGGGCTCGGTCCAGGCTCTGGCCACCGAACTGGAAGAAGGACAGGTACTCCTGAGCCACTGCCCTGCTGAAGTCATTGCTGTGGAGGGAAGTGGAGATCATGTCTGGGTGGAGGAGGGGGCAGGAGGCACAGGCGCAGAGGGAACCCTGTGGCTGCACACATCCCAGGGCCTGGGAATTGGAACTGGGGACCCCGAGCAAGGCAGAGGCCCAGCCAGCTGGACCCTGGGTCCTGAGAGGGCAAGGGACAGCTAGGGTCTGATCTGTACCGGTCCCCTCCTCACACTGGGTGGCAGGGCCACATGTGATCAGGGCAGGGAGGCAAAGTGGACAATCCAGTGGCTCTAAGCTGGGTAAGGGCGTGGAGAAGGGGTGATACCAGTGAACAGGAAGAGGAAGGCTTGGACAGGGGAAGGGTACCACCAGGACAGGACGATGGGGTGAGAGTCAGCAATGGACTGGAGGACTAAGGGGGGGGGGGGGGGGGTGGAACGAGCCTGCCCACCTCACCCAAGGGCCCCTTGCTCAGGCTGAGCCCCTTACTTCTTCCGCAGGTGCACAGCCACCTCGGACTTCCGGAAACCCTCCAGGCGGTAGAGGCGGGAGGCCAGGTCCCAGGCCTGCTTGTCCGTCCTGACGCCATTGGCCAGCTTGTCTGCAGCCTGCGGCCCCTGGCCCTCCTCTGGGGACTTCCCTTGGGGCATGGGGCTCTCAGGAAGCCTGCAAAAGGCCATCAGAGCCCTCACTCTCAGTCGATGGGCACAAAGGGGTTTTGGATCAGGTCGTGGAGGAACCCTCAGCAGGCCTGTCCCTCTCACACCCTCCAACTCTAGCTCCCACGGCTAGACCTGCGACCGAGGAAGGTGCTTGGATGAGGCAAGAATAGGAAGCCAGGCTGGCTTCGGGATGGTGAAGGCTGGAACATCGGCCTGCGCTGTCTCTCCCTAGTGCCCTGGTACAGAAAGGCCTTCCCGTGGGGACAGGACAGGTTGGCGGCCCGGGACGAGTGAGTGCAGGCCAGCCACCCACCGGCTCAGCCTGACACTCAGACCCTCAGAGGTCACCAGTCCCACTTCCTCCCAATGCTCCGGTTTCCCTGGCAACAGCACAAACCCACCCTGGTATCTCCATTATCTGAATGCTCTGCTCGTTATCCAAGCTGCCACAGTGAGGGGTTGTGCAGGGAAGCAGAACTCATCACAACGTGAGAATTTCACTGATAAATGGCCCTCTCTCCAAGTAACGGCCTGTGTCTGCTGGTAACTTCTTACAAGGTCCTGACACAGGAACACCCAACAGGGCAGGGCAAACAGGGTACAAACCAACTGAAAAGTAAAGTTACAAATCTGGCAGAAACTCCCAGGCTTTTGTGCAGTTGGCAAAAGTGGTGCAGGAAGACGCCGGGAACCACTGACAGAGAAGCCAGGAGAGCTAGTCCAGCAAACAGTGAAGAGCAGGAACTAAAACAGGCACACTTGTCCCATTTAAGACAACTAACTCTATGGATGATCAACTGACGAAGCCCTAAAATACTTTACCAAAATGACTTTGTCAATTGGTGGTCTTCCTGTAATGATATCTGGACAAAGAGACACTTTGGAGGGAAAACCCACTCTGTAAATATATATGGTCATGGACTGTATACTTTCAATGAGTGACTTGTATCTTAACAGAGCTGTTAATAAAATAAAATAAAATAAAATAAAATAAAATAAAATAAAATAAAATAAAATAAAATAATAAAATAAATTAAAACAAGTCTCTGATCACACTGTGAAAGTCAAGTGTGAATGAAAGATAGCTATTGGGTCACAAAGCTTGTGCCAGGAAAATTAAGCCTCTTATATTGTGTTAAATATAAAACTCAATATGCTTATTTATGAAATGATCACTTATCAAGAAGCCCCAATTAAACCTTTCATTATTTACCACAGAAGTATGGTTCTCATTTGAGATGGATTTTCTTGTTTGATTTTGGGTTGAAGTAACTTTAATTTTGGTAGCGCCCCTCTCTGTCTAGATTCTGAGACCCCGCTATGGCCCAGCCTCTGGATCTCCACGGACATCGGAGTGGCCAGGTGCCTGAGGCGGAGGGCTCTGTGATCTGATGGGAGGGGCTCTGTGATCTGATGGGAGGGGCTCTGTGATCTGATGGGATGGGTGATCTGATGGGAGGGGCTCTGTGATCTGATGGGAGGGGCTCTGTGATCTGATGGGATGGGTGATCTGATGGGAGGGGCTCTGATCTGATAGGATGGGTGATCTGATGGGAGGGGCTCTGTGATCTGATGGGAGGGGTGATCTGATGGGAGGGGCTCTGTGATCTGATGGGAGGGGTGATCTGATGGGAGGGGCTCTGTGATCTGATGGGAGGGGTGATCTGATGGGAGGGGCTCTGTGATCTAATGGGATGGGTGATCTGATAGGATGGGTGATCTGATGGGAGGGGCTCTGTGATCTGATGGGAGGGGTGATCTGATGGGAGGGGCTCTGTGATCTGATGGGATGGGTGATCTGATGGGAGGGGCTCTGTGATCTGATGGGAGGGGTGATCTGATGGGAGGGGATCTGTGATCTGATGGGAGGGGTGATCTGATGGGAGGGGCTCTGTGATCTAATGGGATGGGTGATCTGATGGGAGGGGCTCTGTGATCTGATAGGATGGGTGATCTGATGGGAGGGGCTCTGTGATCTGATGGGAGGGGCTCTGTGATCTGATGGGATGGGTGATCTGATGGGAGGGGCTCTGTGATCTGATAGGATGGGCTCTGAGCCACACACAGGGGCATGGAGATGGGAGTGGGGTTGACCCTGCAGCCAATGCAGCTTCAGGTCCGGAACCTGCACTGCTACCACCTCCTCCTGGCCTCTTCAGCATGACCTCTCCTTGGCCAGCCAGAGCACACGCCTTTTCCCAGTGGGACCCCAGGAACTGGTGTCTTCACCAGCATACAGAGGGGTGGAACGCGGCTGGCTTCCCACCTGGCCTGTTCCCACCTCTGGCCTCAGTTCTGGGGTTACTCAGGCCTCTGTGGGCCCCCAAACTCCTCCCTTAGGTCCCAGGAAAGCCAGCCATGGTGCTCCGGCTCCCCTGAGATCTGAGCCAGCTCCCGGGCCCAGGCTCCGATAGGAGCTTCTCCCAGATGACCCTCAGAGTCAGAGCCTGCGTAACCCCACGTCACATGTTTTGACCTCCCACGCCCCACAGCTACGTGGCACGACTCCCATCTCTCTGGGCACATGGGCCTGGCGAGGTTTCCTGGACACTCACCCCTCCTGCTGTCCAGCCTTGGACAGGCTCTGACTCAAAACCCACCCCATGTTACGACTGTCTGCTCTTTGGTTTCTGATGCTTTCAAACCTACCCCATCCTCCTCAGAGCCCTGTTGGTGCCGGGCACATAACCCTGCCTTAACTACAGGAGTGTCAAACCCCTGCGTGCACTGCTACCACTCCCAGATCAAGGCTCCCCAACGCACCCGAGGAGCCGCTCCAGCCCACACTTACCCTCCTGCGGAAGCCAGGTGAGCATCGGGCTGGATGGCGCCGCTGGCGTCAGCGTCGACAGTGCCCACAGGGTCCTCTCTCTTCACCTCCTTGCCTGGGTCTAGGGCCTCTGGGGCCTCCTCTGTCTCTGAGGACCAAGGCTGTGGCCCGTCTGTCTCCAGGAGGGCCAGGCGGGAAGCGTCTAATGTCCACGTGGGTAAGGCGGTGCTGGGGTGGCGGCCCTGGAGCTGCGGGCTGCCTTCCCAGGAGGATGAGGACACCGGGCTGGGCCCGGGCCTGAGGCCTCTGCTCTCAGACTCAGGGCTGCTGGGCTCTGGCAGAGAGGCTGGGCCCCACCAGGGGCCCAGGGCACGGGTACAGGGAGCAGGCTCCTGGGGACACTCGGCATCTCTGTCACCTGAGGGAGAGCGGAGTGAGCTGGCAGGGGGTGAGCAGCAGGCTGGGGGCCCAGGGGCCTGGCAGAACAGACAGCCCTCCACCTCCTCCCCGGGCTCCTCCCTGCGGCTGGGCAGCACGTCCAGTCCCTCCTCCTGCAGCATCCTCCCACGTGCAGGGGCACAGGGCTCTCGGCACTCCAGCCCCAAGGCGGCCAGGCTCAGGACAGGTAAACCACTGGAGCCAGGCATTGAAACCTGGGTCCCCGTACATTTGCTCCGTGAGGGGAGCATTTAACCCCACGATCTACCTAACAGGGTACCATGGGCCCTTCATGATACCCACGATCCAAGAATGACCTCTGTCCCACTCCAGATGGCAAAGCCTGCCACCGCCCAATGTCCCAGCCCTCCCTCCCCCCTTCCCTCCCCCCGGTCTCACCTCTGTCCTGGGAGGTAAGAGGCAGCTGGGGCCAGGAAGGACCCTGCTCGGTCTGAGGACTGGGCAGGGCCTGTTGAGAGGCACAGGGTATCCATGTGAACAGGAGTCCAGGCAGGGAGAGGGGAAGGAGAGGGAGGAGAATGACTAAGTTACACACCCCTCCCTGCTGTCCAGGGGAGGATCCTAGGGGGCGGGGGGGGGGGGGGGGTCTAGAAGTGCTGCTGCTGAGCCCTTCCCAGAGGGGGCAGGGAGGCACAGAGAGGGGAAGGTACTTGCCGGAGGACGCACAGGATGAGGATGGGTGGCAGGGCTGGGGTCAGATCTGGCATGCCCTATTTCCCAGGTCAGTGCCTCGTCCACAGAGAAGGCTGCAGGGTCAAGACCACCTGCCAGAGAAGCCTTAGGGAAGAAATGGAGAGGACAGCATTTGGCCTGGGGAAGCAATGCCCAGGGCATTCCCATACCCTCCAGCCCTGGGCCATGTCCACTGACTTGTTTTCTTGGCCCGACCTCTCCCCTCCACAGTCCCCCAGGGGTCCCTGCCTCCCCCAGCACCAGCCCAAGGAGGGGCTGTGTGATAGGGAGGGCGACAGCCACCAGGCCATGGGCAGGGTCTGCCATCCTGGCGGGAGCACCCTGCAAGCTCAAGGATGAGGACAGGGCCCCAGGCTCCCCTCAGGTGACCCCAAGGGCCCCAGAGCCAAGAGGCCAGCCCACACAGGGTGGGGGGGGGGGGGTGACGGAGGGCGGCAACCTAGGGAGGGGGCTCCCCTCTGGGTAGCAGGCCTCCACGGCTCTCTGGGTTCTGAGATTAGAGTCTCGGCCCTGCTCCACCATCTGAAGCTTCCTTATCTCTTCAGCAGAGGCCACCCTGGGAAAACTGTGTCCCTATTGTCTCGCACACTTGTCCCCAGAACTTGTCCTAGCTGATAGCAAGCTCGTCTGCCTTCGTCCTGTGGGCCTGACCTGCTGACACTGGGCGGGAGGAGGAATGGGAGATGACGAGCTAAAAGTAGCAAAATGCTGCCTTAAGGAGAGAGAGGAGGGACGCCGACAGAACCTCCTGGGGGCAGAGGGCGCTAGGCCGCTGACCCCTGCAGGTATGTCTGGGGTTGGGGTGTGTTAGAGGCGGGAGGGTACAGTCTGAGGATGGGCAGGAACAGGCTGCACCTAGAGGGGCCGCCAGTCCCCCCCACCTAACCCACCCCACGCGTCCAGACATGCCCCTGAGCCGGCGAGACGGAGACATGGATGTGCACACATTCAGTGGACAGTGCAGCATCCATCCATTTTCCATAATTCTGAAGGCCTCACTGGTCCTGCCTTCCTGTTTTGTTTCTCCAGGGCCCCCAAAGGCCCTGGCATCTGAAGAGTGTCTGGGCCGGGCGACCACAGAGCAAGCCTGTCCTTCTGTGCCCCAGGCCCAGCTCCGGGCGGGTCCCCAATGCCCTGCTTACCTCGCTCCCCGCCCAGCTGGGAGGTGCTGCAGGAGACTGCGGGGTGGGGATGGGTTCAGCCCAGGAAAAGGAGTGTGGTTTGTAGGTGGGCACAGGGAATGGAGGGGTGGTGTGCCCGCTGGAATCAGCCACGCTGTCCCCTGAGTCTGGCTCATCGCCTAGCCCCCAGGGCACCCTGCCCAGCAGGAGAGGTGGCTCCATGGCCTGCGGGCTCTCGGGCCTCCCTTCCAGGGCCTGAGGGCTCTTAGGCCTCCCGTCGTCGTTGTCGTCCTTGTCAGCCCAGCAGTTGGAGTGTCCCCAGGAGAAGCGCTCTCTGGGCATGCTGGTCTCTGAGGAGGGGCTCTCCAGGAAGAGGGGGTTGTCAAAGAACAGGCTCTCCTCCTCGGCACCCCACTCTGGGGAGGAGTCTGGGGAGGAGTCTGGCGTCTCCTCCTCAGGGGACACCTGGGTCTGGCTCTCTCCCTTGGGCCTGCTGCTGTCCTCTCCTGAGGAGGAGCCGGCGGGGGGGCCTGGGCCCAGGGGGCCCGCCGGGCTGGAGGGGAATGGGGGGAGGTCCACGGGAGCCGCAGGGATGCAGGACCTCAGCTCGGCCCGCAGTCCCTCAGTCTTCTCCAGCTCCTCCTCCAGGTCCAGGACGCACATCTGGGCCTGCAGGATGCCCGCCCAGAACACCACCTGCGTGGACGAGCTGGAGTTCTGCCGTGGGCTCCCCTGGGAAGACCTGCTCCCCAGGCTCTCAGGCTCGGCTCTAGAGCCCCCGGCAGGAGCATCTTGCCTCTCCGGGGACTCAGAGGGGTCAGACGCCCAGGTCAGCTCCTGCAAAGGTCCGGGCAGGTCAGGACGGCTGCTGGTTTCCCTTGGCTGTACTCCTGGGTGGGGCTGCAGGTTGTCTCTCAGATAGTTGTTGAGGAATTCCACGGGTTCCGGGTGTTCAGAGAGTGTGTTGTCATCCATCATCCACATGGAGCAAGTGTGCAGGGGTCCCCAGCAGTGTCCACCGTCACAGTCCCATTGTGCGGATTAGGGGGGCTGCTGGCCAGGGGGGCGACGGAGATTCACTCTGCCCTGGAAATGCCCAAAGCACAGCAGGTCAGCAAAGGGCTGCCAGCTCCTATCTAGTGTGTCAGATATACGTGGGGGACCTTGCCATGCCCATGGCCCCAGCTGGGGTACACTGTCCTCCTCAGCTCTGTCGGGGAGCAGTGCTCCATGCAAGCCTCTGACCCCACCGTCTCAACCGCCTGCTCCAAAGACACCCATCTGTGGGCTGAAGTGGCCCAGGTGGCTTAGCTGAAAAAAGATGGACTGGCTGAATCAGATCCTCCTCTCAGGGATCTCGACTGGAGAATGGAGAGGCAGCAGGAGATGGAAGTGCATCAGAACAGCGTGAAATCAGTGGCGAGCCAAAACAGCACTTAAGCCAAAGCAGGTGGCAACCAGAGAGACACAGACCAGAGTTGACGAAAATGCAACAGAACCTCTCGCGGGAGAAGCAGGCACCTAGGACAGAAGGCCACGGCCTTACTCCCACTCCCTGAGGCTCCTGCCTCTGGAGCCTCGTCCTTCGCAAGACTGGCCAGCGGGTCCTGGTTGACAGCCGTGCAGCTTGGCCAGGGTACGCCCTGGCCACTGTGAAACCTGTCACTGGACTGTCCCCGCCTCCCACTGGCTCTCAGGAAGTGTGGGTCAAACACAGGCCCCTTGGCACTGAGTGGTTGTAGGTGGGCACAGGGGACGAAGGGGTGGTGTGCCCACTGGAATCAGCCACACTGCCCCCCGAGTCTGGCTCATCCCTTTCAGAGTGAAAGGCGCCAATGGCCTCATCACATCGTCTCTTATTTTCCCTTTGCCTCAGACCCTTCTCGGGTGGGTCCTCATTCCTTCAAACCCCACACCTGCATCAGCACGTGACTGCCTCCGGGCCTTCCTGAGGCACCAGTGACGCCACACCTCCGCTGTCACGAGAGAACCCGCTTGACAGGAAAAGTTCTAATGCCAGCAATGGAACAGAGATGGCGGGCAGGGTGAGGGAAAGCGTGTCTGTCCTGCACGTTTTTACAAGAAGTCCCACAGCCACCTTTGCAAACATACTATTTAGAATAGCTAACATTTCCTGAGTTTTTCATGCCCGGCACTGTGCCAGGGAATCTCAGTTGATTGTTAAGGCAATCTTTGGAGGTAGATGCTACTATTATCTAAAGTTGGCAGAGGGAGATTTGAGGCTCAGAGAGGTTGAGTAACTTATTCAGAGCCACAAAATTAATTATGTGAGCCCCAGGATTTACACTCTGGCCACCCCACTCTGGAGCCCACATATAAGTAAATAGGCGTGTGTACACAGAGCAGCCACATAGGTCAACGTTAATTCTATGCTCAGATGCTAGGTTGGTATTACACACACACACACACACACACACACACACACACCCCAGGAAGCCAAGTGTCCCCAAGAGCCAAAGGGGAAAGGTCTGAGAAGCTGTGGCAGCTTTCCCCGGGACCAAAAGGAAGAGAGAGCTCAGGGGCCTGAGGTGTCCGAAGGGCCTGGGGGAGGTGGAGGGAGCCTGGGGATGGGGGAGCCCACGGCCATGAGAGGAGGACATCGAGACAGACAGACTGACAGCAGTTGATAGGGAACAAGTATGCAGTTTGGTGGGGCCATGACTCTGAGCCAGTGAAACTCAGCCTGCTGGGCCCCACCCCTCCCAGCCCACTTACCCCAGCGTGCAATGTCCTCCCTTTCCCAGACTGAGCGCCCTGAAGGCAGGTCCAGTCCAGGGCTGTCTCACTAGGATGAGCTGGGCAACCGAATCATTTGGTGCTCGCTGATGTTAGGCTCTCTCCCACCTTTCAAGCTCAGGGTAGGGGGTGTGGTGCTGCTTCAGTTCAAGCAGGTTAGAAACACAGCCTTGTGCTGACTGAGAAGTCCAGGGCCCCCTGTGAGACTTGGGGTTACAGAGCCTGGTGGGAGGGGTTCTGGCTCCAGTCTGCAATTCCATTTGGGGGCCACAGCTGTGTGTGGCAGGGTTGCCACATTTAGCAAATAAATATATGGAACACCCATCCCCTCGATTCCCAATATTTGGGACATACTTGTACCAAAAAAGTTTTCATTGTTTCTCTGAAACACAAACTTAACTGGGCATACTAGGTTTCGTCCGGCAACTGTCCTCCCTCCTCTCCTCGCCCCCCACCGCCCCGGGAGGTGCAAGGAACTTGTGAACCCCACAATATGACCCATCGCACCTGCTTCACCACGAGCACCTGCAGCTACAGGACAGCGGCCACATCTGTCTCCTTCTACTAATGGAGACGCCAAAGTGCCGAGTTCCAGAAATGTGCAGGGAGCTCAGCGGGGAAAGGGGCTGGGCTCTGAACCCAGGTCTGCGGCTCTCTTGCCATCGCTCTCTTCAAAACCCTGCAGGCACAAAGCCCTGTGAGCAGTCACTCATGCTCTGCTCCCATGGCCAGAGCAAGGCTGTGGGCTGAGGTGCCACTCGGAGGTGTTTGTGAGAATGGGGAAGGAGGAATGACAAATGCTCAACAAACTCACTGGGGCCCTGGGAGCCAGGGCTGAGAGGAGATTCAGAATCATGTGACCTTCCGACCTGAGGGCCAGACTGCCCTTGAGCCGACTACACCTTCCTCCTGGGAAGCCCAGGAGGCAGAGCTGCCCCAGGCGTCACTGTGGAGCCAGCAGCCAAAACACTCACGTGTGTCCCTTCTTCCCAGGAGCAGCTGGATGGAGAGGCGATGGGAGGACCCTTTCAGGCAATTGAGGGTTAAGAAATATCTACCTATTATCTATTACTATCGCTCCATCTACCTATTACCTATCTATCTATTATCTATATCTATCATCTATTATCATCTATCTATTATCTATTATCTATTATCTATCTATCTATCTATCTATCTATCATCTTTCTGTCTGTCTGAGTCTCTATCTCTATCTCCCTCCCCAATCCACTTTTTTTTTTTTTTCTTTTTTCAATTTCTCCCCCCTGGAGGGGTGGAAGGACCTGAGGAGAGAGGTGACTTGTGGCCACCAAGGCAGTCCCACCCTCCTGATCCAGCAAGGGTTAAGGATCAAGGGTCAAGGGCAGCAACCAGTCTGTTCTGGGGGCAGAGATGGCACATCTCAGGCAGAGGCGTGCCTGGTCTCCTGCATCTAGAATTTTCTTGGTTTACTTTTTTCTCTGTTCTCGGCATTTAGTGAAATCTCTTGAAATAGCTCCTCTCAGGTATCCTCAGAACAAAGGAGGGAGACAGTCTGCCAACTCGTCTCACAGGGGGTTTGCCACCCCTGAGATAAAGTGGCCCCTCATTTCCTAAGCTCCGTGAGGGCTCAGTCATTCGAGGATAAGTTCTGGGAGAAGTATCCAGAAAATGCTGAGGCTCCAGAAGACAACCAGGGGGAGGGCACAGGTCCACTGTGGCCCCGGCTTCATTAGCTAAATTCACGTCAGGCAATCCTCGTCCAAGAGGTCTCTGGAGGAGAAGTCCGCAGGGGCCATGCCTGTGCCAGCTGATGGGCTGAGCTGGGAACCAGGACACAGTGCCCCACTGCCAGTTCCACTCCATCTGGATTCAAGGCAGCTCCTTTGTGACAGGAGGGAACCCAGTCTGGTAGCTGAACTGTGCTTTTGAGAGGGAGTTTGCTGCTCTCCCCCTGGCTGGGCACACAGCCGACACTCTGCCTGCAAGAGGCTGCGGACAGCCTGCCCTGGGACAGGTGACAGCCTGGGTGTCCTGGCGCCCACACCTGAGGCCCACAGACTGGACTCACATCCTAACTGCAGCTGACAGCCACCGACTTTAGTCAGAGACTTCACCTGCTTCCTGGTCTGCTGGGAGCTACAGCCTGCAACCACATGAACCAACTCTTGTCCATTCTCACAGATGAGAAGGAGTAAGCTGCTCCAGGGTCTGCTATAGGATGGGAGCAGGTCTGTGCCAGTGCTGGGCCCGGGCCTCAAAAGCGCGTGCCCTGCCTGCACCTTAACCTCTGCTGCTTTGAGGGTCCTCTCAGAGAAGTGAAACAAACACCCTCCCTTCCAGCACAGCAGCCTGGTGGGCACCTCGCTCTCAGCGGCCTCCAGAGCCAGCCAGCCCCAAATCCCCCACTGAACTCCGTGTGTCTCTCCTTGTAAGCTTCCACTCAGCACACATGCCTTCTTTTTACTGTGGAAATTTTTTCTTCCTCTGGAAAAAGCAAAGGCTCCTGGCCTGTCCGGGGATTGAGGAAGTGCCGGGTGCTGTCCCTGTGCAGGAGCCGGTCAGAAATGTCGTCCCTCAGGGTGGGAGCTGAGGGTGAGCCCTCTGTCTGGAGCTGCAGGACTGATGCCCCTGCCTGAACCTGGGGAGTGAGCATGCCAAGTTCAGGGCAGGCCTCACTTCCTGCCGCACCAGGAGCCCTCATGCAAATGTGCAGGGAGGGCGGGGGGGGGGGGGGGGGGGGGGGGGGAAGGGAGGCTCTGGGGGCCTGAGGACCCAGTGTTGAGTCAGGTTCAGGATCAGCCAGGTCTCAAGCAGAGAGGAGGGATGAAGAGGTCCCAGAGCAGCTGCCCCGGAAGGGCTAGGCCCACCAGGAGGGCTCGGGCCAGGCTGGTCTCCTCACCTTTTCTGGGCCTCACCCCCTCACTCCACAAATAGCTCAGCAGGCTCTGAGCCCTGGGCTGGCGGTTCCTTATTTACAGATGTCCAGGAGGTTGGGGCGACAGGCCTGTCTTTCAAACCTGGCCAAGGCCCTGAGGGGACTAATCCTGGCCCATGGCAGGCAGCCCTGCCCAGCTTTCAGTATCTCAGGCTCTAGAACCAGGCCCTGTGAGGGCGGGTCCGAGGCTGGCTTCACCATGAAGACACAGCCACACCTGGAAGGCCTGAGTGCCCGCACAGGGACACTGAGTGGCATGGCTTCTGCCACCCATCAGGGACCTGGCAAACTGGCAAGTTGGGGCCCTGCCTGTAACCAGCTCCTCCGGATGGGGCTGGGAGCCCCCTCAGAGTGGAATCTGAGCTCCTGCAGTGACCACACCCAAACTACCCTAGCCCATCTGGCCTCTCTC